ACTCGGGTGTCTCGCCGTGCTCGGAGGCGAGGGCGAACTAGTGTGTTTGTTGTTGCACTAACTGTGGGTGTAGTGTTGTCCGGCGGGACCCCCGGCAGTGGGTCCGGCGTGTCTAAGTCCCCTTCCTCGACCGGGTCGATTAGGACGTTTCGCGGGCGACGCTTGTTGACGTTCGCGTTTTGGTCGGGTTGGTAATTTGCTGCGCTTACCACCAGAGGGTTGGGATGATGTTCGGCTCTATCGAAGAACCGTTTGGTCAGGTCTTTAAAATATTCGCGAATCGTCGGGAGTCTGCAATCGCTGTGCAGGTCGACGTTGCGTTGATACTACTGCGCACCGGTTGCGCGGCGGATGAACTTATTTTCTACTATTTGCAACTTGTACAAGCGAGTAGGGTGCGTGTGGGCGAAGGTCATGCATGCGTAAGACATAATAGGTCGTACGCAGGTCTTATATAATAATAATTTGTGCCTTAAGGGCATTTTACTTTTAGCGTTAGTTAAATTGTGTAGCCGGCCGGAGACGAACGCGGCTCTATTGCTAACGTTATTAATGTGCGTAGTAAATGACATACGCGAGTCGAAAGTGACTCCTAAGTATTTGACCTTTTTCTCCCAGGGGAGCGGTTGGCCATAAAGGGATATTTGCCCCAACTTTCTGCATTGACGAGGGCCATTATAAAGATGTGACGGGTAAGTACTTCGTGTGAAGTGAATCGCCACACTCTTTTCGGGATTTATTTCTATTCTCCATTTGCGGAACCAATCGCCGAGGCGGTCGGAAGCGCTTTGGAGTCGAGCGGTTAGTTGTCTAAGGTTGCGGTCTGAATAAAAGAGCGCCGTGTCATCCGCGAAAAGCGCGAGATTGACGTGGGGGTCTTTAGGTATATCGCTTGTGTAGAGCGTAACGAGCAAAGGTGAGAGGCAGGAGCCTTGTGGTACGCCGGCCGTGAGGCGGCGGCTTGTGGAGAGGGTGCTTTCAACTCGATATCGAAAAGAGCGGTTCGACAGGAAGGCCTGGATGGTGTGTACGAGCCTATCTGGCACTTTGAGTGTGTACAGCTTGTAAAGCAAGCCGTTGTGCCAGACCTTGTCGAATGCTTTTGCGACATCGAAGAAAAGAGCCCCTGTACTAATATGTTTAGGGTGATTTAGGCCTTTTAGGATATGTTCCGTTAGGCGAAATAGTTGATCGGGACAGGAATGTCTAGCTCGAAAGCCGAATTGTTCCGCCGGCAGAAGGCCGTTGGAAAACACGTGCTCATTGAGCCTGTTTAATAAAAGCCGCTCGTAGAGCTTCCCCAGGCAACTGAGAAGGCTGATGGGACGATAACTAGAGGGCTGGTTGGCTGGTTTATTAGGCTAGCGAATGCCGATAACCCTGGCTTCTTTCCAGTCGTCTGGAAAGGAGCAACTGGAGAGTAAAGTATTGTAAATGGTCGCCAGTAAACAGATAAGCGGCCCAGGCTGAGCTTTAAGAATTTTGTTACTAATATTATCTGGGCCCGGGGCGGATTTGGGTTTTAAGTTTTTAATAATATCTTGAACCTCTTCGGGGGTCGCTGAATTCAAAGGATAGCCTTCCGGTGGAAGCGCAGCCCTAATCTCGATTACGCGGTCCACCTCCGTTAGGTGGGCTGTATCGATGTGTTCGCGCGATGGCGTACATTGCTGCTCTAGGTTGTCCGCAAGGCATTCGGCTTTTTCGGAGTCATCTAGGGCTACTGAAGCGCTATTAGGTCTAACTAACGGCGGTAGAGATTCGCGGGGGTCTGCTTTCAGACTGCGGACCAACCGCCAGTAGGCGGTGTGCGATGGCTCGATGTCCTCTAGGAGAGTGTCCCACGTTGTATGTCGGTGTTCCGATACACGATCTTTGACTTCTAGCTGAAGGCGTCGAAGTAGGGTTCGGTTCGATTCCGATCGGTATCGGTCGAAAGCGCGTTTGGCTGCATTTTTCTGCCTAATTAGGAGTCGCAGTTCGGGCGGAAAGTTAAACCGTCGATCGCCCGACAGTTTAACCGTCCGTTCCGAGTCTGCGACTGTGGAAGTGATGGTTTCTCGGAGACTTGCTATCGCTCGATTTGCGTCATCGAACGTAGCTATCGTCTCGGGTAGGTCGACTAAGTCCTGGGGATCTAAGGCCTTGAGTTTGACCTCAAGACGATGCCAGTCCACTACGGATTTGGTCGGAGGGACCGCGCCGGCGTTCTGGCCCAGTTTACACAGGACGGGCCTGTGATCTGAGTCTAGTTCATGGATTGTCTCTATCGAATCGATGTCGAGCGAGACCTCCTTGAGTAACATGATATCTAGGATACTCGGTGTCGCGTGTTGGTAGTTGTCCACCGTAGGATACCTAGTGGGAGTCGCAGGAGCAATTATGCTAAAGTTTAAATTATCGGATAAGCTAAAGAGATGCTTTTCGTTGTTATTTGGGATGCTGTGGATGTCCCATGAGCCGTGTTTGCAGTTTAGATCTCCTGCAATTATCACGGAAGGGCCTAAGTTAAGTAGCGTATCTAGGTTGCTTTGTAATAAGGTTTTGTTCCCCGAGAGGTAGGCTGAGACTAGTACAAGCGGCCTATGGCCGGTGAGCGCTAACCTACACGCGGATGCCTCTATATGGCTTAGCTCTGGAATGTCGAGCGGGCTACAGTGCAAGGACCGTTTGTAATAAATTAAGGTGCCTCCCAGACGGTTTGCTAACCGTTCGTGGCGGACTATGTTGTAGTTTGCGATTCTGGGATCGCGTACACTAGGTAACCATACAGAGAACCTGTCTATCCATTCCAGTTGGATTGGTAAACTTCTCATTCCTCGGTCACATGTTAAAAGGGTTTAATTAAACGAATGTACCTGATTGTAACAAAGTTACGCGAATTCTGTTCAGTTTAGAACGTGACAATTTAACTTTGATTATGCGTCCTAAAGCCATTGCAATATTGAAAGCGCGAAAGTCAGTAATAGTAAATTGACAGCAACGTAACAGACTACTTTGACATGCCTGTGACATCTCCGCGGTTGCAGCTCTACTAAAGGACCGCTGCCACCCCTTTGTAATACGCAGGGTACAATAGTTGACAACCCTAGTTCCCGCAAGGTCGTATCGTAATTTTTCTTACATACGCATAAAGAATCACAACGTCTCTTGATGACAGTGCCACTCGACCGTAGCAAATCGTATGAATAATCGTTGAAACATCTTCAGGCGATTCCGCCTGTCATATAAGCGCGTATGCAACATGCATAAATGCTGCCGATAATGCACGATTTGATTTTCAAACGACGCAGACCCGAAGGTCGGGGCGACCAATGTCAGTTTATTCGCAAGGGCATTTCGCTGCATATATGCAGGGATAAGAACCATCTCGATCCCGGCGCACACATTATCACATAGTGTTGCCAAGCTGCAAAAAACTTCTTAAATTCGTCTTCGAATATTTCTTGTCGATTTTTACCGCGTTCGTTCCAAATTCCAAGTTTAAAAATTAGTAATTTGTATATTTAGGTACTCTAAAAAGAATATATCTCAGTATATTTATATTAAAAAATAAATCGTTAATTTATTGTTCGCTTGGTTTCGTTACTATTCGAACCGGTTATATGTCAATCTTCACTCTTAAGGTTGAGTCTGTTTGCCTGCACCGCTCTTTTGGCACAACCTTCCCTTGAGACGGAACGAGATGAATTAAAATAAAAACATTCCTCCGTAATAAATTGCTAAAAATGCGTTATTTTCGTCGATAGATATAATTGTAAAAAATTTTTACTGCAACGTCTAAAGCCGTATGAGAATAAATAGGATCTATCTACTGCATTTGACAGCTACGTAAAATTCAAAATGGCGGAAGTGAAATCCATTCATCATGTTCGACCTTCAGCCGTTTCTAATTTGAAAGAAACAGTCATAATACGAATGACACTTGAACTAATTCCACTGAATACTAAATATAATAATTTATTGCTTCATGTTTCCATTTGCAGTTTTATTATGAGCTCAGTTGAGTTGGCAGTTTGAGGTTGGAGAGTTATAATATGAAATATTTTCTTATGTCCTCGTCTAAAAAAACTTTCAGGGCATTTGATTATTTCAATTTAAATAAATTGATAATTGGAGTATAAAATGCTGGGTACCTTTCGTAATCATTTTCGTACTTTATAGAGAGGAAAAGTAAGTGCCCTATATTGTCAAGGCCACGCTTACGAAAGTACAAAGTCAAATGGTAAATCTAATCTATGGTCACATCGTATTGTTGCGTTTGGCATATAAAGCGTCTGGCTATGAAGAAATCGGGCATGCTAACTATTTCTACATGGCCCTCATTTGGGCATTGTCTGAATAAATGTCGTCGAAAACTTTAAGACTTCAAGAGTTCAAATATCACACTCACTATACATTTTCTATTTGACTTTGAAGGGTTCCCTGATATATTCCTGATTTATCTCCGAAATCCAACTCCGTTAGCAATGAAAGTGATACGGGACCGCGACCATCCTTTAAATATCGATCTACAATAATTGACGGAGAAATCAGCAACATAAATATGTCTATGTCTGTTAAAAAGCAAAATACCCCAACCAAGGAATTTCATTTGTTTTTTATGAAAGCTTAAATGTTTCCTATAGTGTATAGGAAGTAGTTCCTCGTCTAGGCTGAATTTATGGGCGCTAAATTTAATCCTGATGTTTACTTTATTATGTTTATATTCCTGTTCTATAGGGTCACAGAGTTCTATTTCCGTTGTTATGTTAACATACGAAGCAGGGTCGGAACCCAGAGTTTATAAACAAGCGTGTTATTGACACATGTATCTGGACTGTGGGATCGAATACGACCGCTTTGGTTTTTGTATTGCTCAACCGTCAAATCGATCGCCATTACTCGGGTGCTTTACTGCCTGAAAGCGAGATTTGTGGGGTCATTTGAGGTGGCGATGTTTCCGAATTGGATACGGGTTTTGTGGGATTGAAGCTGACGGGTTCCTTCCATTGTTTCAGGTTCGTCATAAACCTCCTTGCGACGAACCTCCTGACCACGACCCTGCTAGCGCCCGCGCTTTTCGGCGAGCACTCTGCGAGGGATACCGTGGCCTGGGTGGAGGCGGGAGACGCTGCCGCGTCCGCTTGCAGTCTGGCGGCGCTGCTGGCCGTCATGCTGATAGCTCTGGACCAGCATCACGCGGTCACTGACCCCCTGCGCTGCCACACCCGCCTGCTGCAGCGGCGCCCCGCGGCACTCTGCGCTGCCACCTGGCTGGTGTCCGCCGCCGCGGCCGCCACACGGGCGTCGATCGCGGTCTTCCGCCACTTCTACCCGCTCGAGCCCGCCATCTGGGGAGTCGAACTGGCCTACTACGTAGTGTACCTAGTGACGGGCGTGATCGTCCCGATAACTGTCGTGTGCGTGATGTACGCGAGGATATACCGCGCCGCGCGCTCGTCCGGACTCAGAGCGCGCGCGCACGGAGCCAGCGCCCTGCAGCTCCACGAGCCCACAGTGAACCTGCCCGACCTGGTGGAGGAGGGCGATGGGCTGACGCTGAAGATAGACGTGCCGGATGGTGACGGTGACCGTAAATTCGGGCCGTTCTTACTGCCGCCCGAGCGCCCGATGCGCTGCCCTTCGGTGGCGAGCTTGAGGAACGCGCGGAAGGAGGGAAAATCGAGCGAGGATCTCAGGAAGGGGCTGCCGGCAGTGAGCTCCGCGCCGTCGCTCGCGGCGCCCCTGCTCTCTACGCAGCCCCGCGCGCCAACCGGCGGCGGCTCCCGGATCACGTCGATCCGCTGCCGCATCTCCAACGCGTCGCTGTTCCGCTACCGGGAGGAGTCGCGTGCGGCGCGCGTGGGCCTGCTGACGGGAGCGCTGGTGCTGCTGCACGTGCCGCACGCGATCACCGCCTTAGTTTCCGCCGCGGCGCCCCAGTTGGGGGCGGAGGCGCGCACGCCGTCGCTCGCCCTCCTCCTGCTGGCGTCGGCGGCGTCGCCGTTCCTGTTCGCGCTGCGCTCGCGCCGGGTGCAGCGCGAGGCGCGGCGCCTGCTGCTGCCCGAGAAGAGCGCGTGGGAGCGGGCTTCGGGCGCGGCGTCGTCTGCAGCCGCGGACGGGCAGAGGGCGCGCGCCGCCCTCGAGCTGCTGCGGACCCTGACGCCGGGCGAGGGCGGGGCAGCGCCGAGCTCCGGCGCGGAGGGCGCACCGTGCCGCGGCTCCTTCAGCTCGGGGGGCAGCACCCAGCTGTCCTCCGCCTCGGACGAGTGACCTCAGCACCCGCGCGAGCCGCCCCGCCCGCGCGTCCGCTTCGCCCCCCGCCCCACCGCTCTACTCATCTGTGATACTAGGTTAAGCCGGTGCGCGCTCGGCGCTACCGTCAGACTGATATAGCTCTAAGATAATTTATTGTGTCCGACGTACCTTTCCGCTGAGCGGAACAACTATTACTACCTGATATTAGTTATATGTGTTTGTAATATTAAATTCGTATCAAAGTGATTTTTTGGCGGTTTCATTCCCTTCCTGACACACAGCGGAGTTGACCGTAGCTAGCTGGGGTGGTGCGCGCATAAAGCGGACGGTGAAGGCCGAATAAAACGTAACGTTACGAAAATGAGTTTCGTACTTGTTGCAAATAATTTTTCTAATGCAACGTGTCTGAATGTCTTTACGTACTGTCTTACGACACCGGCGGGACGAACAATGACTTGTTATAGCGCTTGATACATAAAGTCGGTGCCCCGGTTACAATTAATTTAATTACTTCCTATCGCGTTGAACATTGACTAAGTGAACTCATTGTAGAACAGAATATGTTTCAATAGAAAATAAATGAATTAATGACATAAAATAATGAGTCAAAATGACAAGTTCATTTTTTTTAACAAAACCGACTACAAATATCGTACTCGCTTTAGACTTTTTATGTGATTTAAAAAGTTCGCTGATGTATCAACGGAGTCCAAAGTACAGTACCAATGACATTAATAATGTGAGTTAAAACCAACCGATGCAAAAATGACTAGTTTTGAAACAACAAACAAAAAAGCAACAATCGAATTGGGAATCCCTCCTTTTTCTAAGTCGGTCAAAAACAAACGTTAATGTTAATCCTCATAACTTGCCTAATAAACACACACTTGAACAACGCTAAAATTAATCGAATTCATTACATTCTTTAAAGTTATATTAGAGGCGAATGTTTTATACGTGGATATAAACCCGTCAAAATTGCTTTGCGTAATTGGCACTGGCATTAACGACTGTTGACTGAATGTTTCCAGGGTAACGATGCTTAACATTAACTGGTGACGACAGATTGTCAGTTTACTGTAACCAGTTGTGACTTAGAATATTGTAATAGATATAGGCGAAACGCAAAAGTGTAACACTTCAACATCGGGCTGGTCTTCACTGAGGTTGTGGTACTTTTCAGAACGGACCCGCTCATTGCCTATGAAGCAATGCACTCGCCATAACCCAGGCGTAAGGAGGGAATACTGTGAACGGTACACACAGGTTAAATATACACACAGATTTAATATACACACAGATTAAATATACACACAGATTAAATATACACACAGATTAAATATACACACAGATTAAATATACAAAAATACGCTCTGATTTCCCTGCAAAATCGGGCTGTAGACCAAAATCATCTGTAGCAAATGCGACTCTGAAAGCAAACGCTGCAGAGTGTTGTAGCGGCCCACTTTATTAAAAGGTGGCAACGGTTCTGTAACCGTACTGGTGTTGCATTTATGTCAATGGGTGGCGGTTATCACGTAACATCGGGTGAACTGCCTGCTCGCTTGCCACCTTCTCACATTTAAAAAAAACTAATCTAATATTGAAATGTACCTTAATGAAACCAATGAAAACGAAAAAACAATCCACATCGCGTCGGGGCCGTGGTGACACTCTGGAAGTACCGAGGTTTAGATTGGCTAAAACCAGAAAGTGGTTTCTTGGAAGATGCATCAACTTTTATAATAAAATAGGTGACATCCACAAACAACTAAGTATAAACAATTTCAAACAATTTTTAAATCTACCTTAATGGCAAAAGCCTACTATAATATCCAAGAATACATTGAGGACACGGATGTTTGTAAATGACTCTTGCTCTACACTTGCAAGACCCCTGGCTGCTGCATATTTTATACCTAAATAAGTGTGTATAATTGCATAAAAAAAATAACAAAAAGAACAAGACCGCAGAGTTTCTTGCCGGTTCTTCTCTGTGCAGATCTAGTTTAGTGAACCGGTGGTAGATTAGATAGTTTTTGTTGACGTTCAATAAGAGCTTAAGTTAGGCCTATATTGAATAAATATACTTTGTCTTTGAAATGACGTAACGCCTCAAAAGTACACTTTACTCAATTACATGCACCAATTACTACCCACCTAAAAGGCTTTGGCACGAGCCTTGATTTCTCAGAAAAGATCAGTTCTTATTTACACTAACGGCTGTACTCAGTCGTCAACTAGCGCCTAATAATCAAATTTATTTATCCTTCGAGTGATCCTTTTAATAATTTTTTATTACTGAATTCAATTGACGTCTTGAGTGCAAGCGTATGGTATAAAAAGTAAACGTTCGAATGCATGCTGAAATAAACACTTACGCCCGGTTTCTAAAACACTGTTCATCATGAGTAGATGTTTACTAATCAGCTGTTAAATGGCTTTTGAAATAGCATTTGAGTTGCCAAAAGGATGGTTAAACTCTTGAACTGATCATTCTGATTATTACTAAGATAGTTCTGGTCAGTTCAGAGAGTTAAACCATCCTTTTGGCGACTAAAATTAAATTTGAAAAGCTATTTGACGACTGATTAGTTGACATACGATGATCAGTGTTTCAGAAACCGGGCGTTAGTCAGTAAGAACGAATGCTCAAGGATGCGCAAGCATACTGACTGTGGATGCCGCGGCATGCTCCCGCCTCTTTTCCTATCTGTACTAAAACCCGCTGTTTGATACAAATTCTTGTGGTGCTGGACCCAATGAATGTATTCAAAAGAATACCTGAATAATGCAATACATTTTGTATGCGGAGACTTATTCCTTGAAGCAGCTTGCCCGTCTTTGCATTTCAAAGAGCGTGTAACTGATAAATAGGCATACTGCATCTTGACTTTTTACTTTATCATCCCATTTCTAAGTTATCAATACTATGTATGAACATGAGGTTACAAAGATTAGATTCAACTCCTAAATAAACTGAGATACAGCTCACATTGGAACACGAAAGTCACATTTGATAGTTAACGTTCTCAATAACCGTTATCCGCCCGCTTAACAGCTTTCTATAACTCCAAATGATGTAAGAAATGACTAATACCGTCGTTGGAGTGGAATTCAGACTTTGGAGACGCCGACCTACTTTAAAGATCACAGTTGTCTGTTGATTTTTGTCTTGACGATTACTTTTACTGAAAGAAAGAAAGAAAATACATTTATTTACCAAAAACAATTAATGTATTTTCTTTCTTACTGAACATAGATAATCAAAAGTCAATTAGACCGTTCAAACATTAGACACTTCCATGATTCCATAGTTAAGGCACCGCTTTATTTTGTATTGGAAGTAATCTTCAAGAGATACCCAGTTATCTGAATGGGAAGTTGTTGGTGGTTGGTGTACTTGTACTCACTACAACCCTCTCGATGACCATGCATAGTGAATTTCGAGGTGCTTCGGAATCTCTAGCGGAACGATCTTGACTTGGAACCCTACTCTGATTACCAGTGAACCCAAAGACCCCTTTTTGTCGCCTTGTACGACAGGCAGTGGATACATTAGCGTTATTCTAGTCCGGTCATAAATTCTGACACATAAAAATTTTGAATGCAAGCCACGAAAATATTTATTAAATTCGAATTTCGAATCGATTCGATTTCGTGTACTCGTAAAGAAGACCGAGTTGCGGTTATCGCGGTTTTTCTTATGTGAGACGGAGGCAAGCGAGCTGACGATTCACCTGATGTTAAGTTATAACCGCCGCCCATGGACACTTGCAATACCCGTGGAGTTGGCCCCGATTACCAACCCTGATTGCAACAGACGAAATGCACAAGAATAACAAATCCACTTCACAACGGTCTTCTGTAAGTTCGCGTTACTACCCCGGATCTGCCCATATGAGTAACATTAAGATTTTAGAACAACTGAAAAAATTGGATATAAGTAAAGGATTCGTTTATCGCTGCATCAAATGATTTACTGAAAATTTAAGTGTAGGAGTCACAAAGTTTTACCGGTGGTAGAGCCAATTTCCAAACAGGTTGTCTCGCCCATAGGCATCTGCAAACCCTCGGGTGTAGCAGATGTCTATGGGCGGCGGTATTCACTTAACATCAGGTGAACCGTCTGCTCATTTGGCAACTTTTCACATAAAAAAAACAAAAAAAAAACAAAAGGAAGTGGCCGCTATAGCACTGTTAGGAGTCCAACCGCGATAAAAGCTGTGAAGGCACGAATCCGAAGAAATCCCATGAGTAAGCAAAAACTGTTAGCCCTTCAGATGGGTTTAAGCAGAACCACGGAGATAAAAATGTGTAGAGTAAATACTTAGGACTTCAGCTCTAGATTTAGTAGACTATGTACCAGTGGCAGTCTGCGGGGGAGGCCTATGATCAACAGATGATGATGTACCACGACGGAGCTAGCATGATTAGAGTTCGATCTTTATTAAAGTTAAAGTTAGTATAAAAATATAAAAGTATTAAAGTAGTTCTCTATTTTGTTAAAGTTAGTAGTTCTGAATGTTCGAAGTGTCTTTCTAGTGAAACAATTCTCTTAGCATACAACAGTGTAAGTTCTTTCTTACTTTTCTTTTTTTTTTTAAAACATGGCCCCTACTTTAGGATGACATTATTCTGTGTTATAAGGACGTTTAACAAATATAAATTTCACGCCGACAAACACCCAGAACGAATGCGAACCAACTATCTGTGGGCCACACAAACAGTTGTCCCGTGTCGGAATCGAACCCACAGCCCGCGACGCCGAAGCCGATACCTTGGCGACTGCGCCACGGAGTCATCGAAAGTTAATGTTAATCTCTGAAAATAATATTTCCACAAATATTAGAAAGCTGACGCGGCATCGGGCCGGTAATATAGATCGTAGAACCGATTAGTGATAGCCTCGTATTGACCATCGCGATCCAGGATGGTCCCTTCTAGATGCCGTGACCACCTGTCTGAAAGTGCGGCAAGTCGATGGATGAAGGTGGCTCATCGTGCTTGGT